CACCCTGCTGTCCCTCTGACACAATCACATATGTCCCCTGCTCCCCCCGACACTCTCACACACGCCCCCTGCTGTGTGGGGAGCATGTGGACGACCCCAAGTGCCTGGGCTCTGAGGGGCAACAGAGGAGTTGCAGGCACCAGCCAGTGGTTCAGTGTCTCCTGGTGCTCTGCAGCTTGGGCACAGCAGCCCTCAGGAAGCGTGTGCTGAAGCGCTGCGCTGAATGGTCAGGGAACGAGACTGGCCAATGACGCCCCTGGGCAATCCCCCGTCACACAGCCAGAGCGACCGCTCTGCCCCACACCCACTCCCAGATGGGGCTGTCAGGGGCTAACCGAGGCAGCTCTTTGAAGAACTGTGCATATTCTGTGAAATGGGGCTCTGTGATGAAGCGCACTCCCCTCTCATTAGTGCCTCCTGTCAGCTGGGTGGGAACCTGCACTCTGCTCGCCCTGCCCCCTATCAGCTGTTGCCCTCATTAGGTGCCCACTACTCCAGGTCCCGACCCAGGGACGCTACAAATAGCAGCCACATGCTGCTTCATTTAATAGCTGCTTCTGCCGCTATTCCCTAGGCCACTTCCATGTAGCTCCTTCGTCTTCACCCTCATCTCAGGGCTGAAGATCTCAATTCCACTCCTTCCTCACTCTTCTGGGCCCAGCCAGCAACTGCCCTGCTCGGCCCTGCAGCGCCTTTTAACTGGCCTGCTGCGCTCTGAGTGGCTGCTTCCCTGTAGCTTCTCTAGGCAGGCCTGGAGGACTCACCTTCACTGCTTCTTTTCTGGAGCAGGGTGTGGTAGGACTGCAAGGCCTCCAGCAGAGGGCCCTCAAAGGGCCTGATACATCCCATCACATATCTCCCCCACGCAGAAAGGACTGGGGTGGGGGATACTATGGAGGGTAATGTCCCCTCCTATCCAGGCTTTGCCTTTCTTAGATAGGGTCTTCTCTCCCAGACCTTTCTGTCTGGAGAGCCTTTTACCAACTTTGCCCTGCTTGTTAGGGTTCTCACTCTGTTTCCAGTCTCCACCCTGGTTAGTCAGGTGCCCCCCAATCCTCAGGCCTCTGTCTGGAGAGCTTTTCACTTTCTGCCCTGGCTGCTCAGACTTCTCTCTGAGACCTTTCTGCCTGGAGAGCTCTTCCAGTTTCTGCCCTTCTTTGGTCAGGGTCTTCTCCCTCAGGCCTCTTTGCCTGGAAAGGTTTTACAGTCTGCATTCTGGTTTCTCAGGGTCTCTCACCCAGGCCTCTTTGCCTGGAGAGCTTGTAGGCCCCAGTTAGTCAGGGCTTCCCCTGTCAGACCTCTCTGCCTGGAGGGCTATTCACAGTTGTTGCTCTCCTTAGGGTTCTCTCTCCCAGCCCTCTGTCTGGAGAGCTTTTCACAATCTGTGCCCTGACTTCTCAAGGTCTTCTTCTCTCCAGCTTCTCTACTATGGAAGGCTTTTACAGTTCAGGGTCCTTCCTTAATTAGCCCTGTGACACTTTCTCCTGCAGAGCCAAACTGTACCCATAGGTGGACTCTACAATAGCCGACACTTGGCCAAGTCCTGCAGCCAAGGGGGAACTTCCTGATTAGCAGCAGTCAGGAAGTCTACTAAACTCTTGGTAATGTGCTTGTTCTTCTCAGTTACATCATCTGACAAGACCAGGACTTGGGCTCAATTCTGTTGTAGGTGTTTCATATGGTGGGTATATTCCTTCATATCTTGGGGCATGTCATAATTCACCACATGCTGCGCCCTGTGAATATCTGGTTCCCAGCAACTTCTGATGTAGTCAACACCAGGATTTCACCAAGGTTGAACTGACTTAAGGCTGCTGCCTGGTCTCAGAGAAGCGCCTCCCTGGATGCAAACACAAGCACAGCCTTCTGAATTAAAAATGTCTTTATCCACATCCAACCTCCGTCCAGGTCTTCCAAACACTAAGAACGGCATCCTGTTCCCAACATGTCTCAATGCTTCACTCAGCTGCACCCACTTCTCCTGCTGGATCCACAGTACCTTGTGGCTGATATTCTGGGCCGTAGAACAATATGAGTCTTTCTCCTTCCTCAAGGTAGGCCCCTTCCTTTTAAACAGGGTCCTGCTTGTGGCCTTGCTTTGCCAATATATCAGGATCCTGGGGTTTTAGACCCACGATTGGGTAGCTCTCTTCTTCAGCAGATGGATGTATGTCCTTGTCCAAGCCATCTTCCTTCTGTACTGACCTCAGTCCACACAATTCCAGCTCTTTTTCTAGTGAGGCCACTTCAGCCTCGAGACTTCCCAGATCTTTCTCCTTAGCCAAGCTGGGCTTTGACCCTGGCTGGACCTTGAGCAAGTTTTGGAGCTTAGTCAGCTCCTTTTGCAGCAGAAAACACTGCTGTTCCCCAGATTCCTTTTCAACTTTGAGGCAGATCAGTTCTTGCTCTCTACGATCCTTTCCCATGACGAGCAGGTCTCTTCTGGTTCCTGTTGGTACCTATACCACCCGTAGTTCATAGAACCAGAGGATTATAATGAACCGCAAGGGTCATCTAGTCTAACCCCTTGCCAAGATGCAGGATTTGTTGTGGCTAAACCATCCAAGACAGATGGCTATCCAGCCTCTCTTTGAAAACCTCCAATGAAGGAATTTCCACAATCCCTAGCCAGTATGTTCCATTGTCCTGCTGCTCTTACAGTTAGGAAGTTTTCCCTGAGATTTAATCTAAATCTGCTGTGCTGTAATTTGAACCCATTGACTCTTGTCCTGCTCTCTGTGCCAAGAAACAACTTTTCTCCGTCTTTTTTATGGCAGCCTTTCAAGTATCTGAAGACCGCTTTCATATCACCCCTTAATCTCCTTTTTTCCAAACTAAACATAACTAAACACAGTTCCTTCAGCCTTTGCTCATATGACTTGCATTCCATCCCTTTGATCAGCTTTGTCGCTCACCTCTGGGTCCTGTTCTGCTGCTGTTCTGCCACTAACAGGCAGATTGCCTCCTCCATTGTCCCCTTGTTTCAGGGGCTGATCTGTAAAGATCCCCCTTCTGATACCAAGCTGCCTGATACCTCTCGTTAGTGCCTCCTGTCAGCTGGGTGAGAACCTGTGCTCACTGCTTGTGGCGCCCACTGTCAGCTGTTGCCCTCATTAGATGGGTTTTCAGTGGCTCAGCCCTCTGGCCGAGTCACACACTGTCTAAACACATGAAGGCAGTGCAACAGGGCCTGCACCTGTGCCCTTGTTAGTAGTCCTGTCTCTGTCCTAGTTCTAAGTCCGTATCTGCCCTGGTATAGAGCAGTGCCCCAAGGCTTCCTCCCTGGAGACTCTTTAAGTTCTGCCCGTCACTTGGGCCTCTAAGCAGTCATGTCAGGTCTTAGTATCAGTCTCTGGGGGGACACTGAAGTGCCTGCAGGGCTGGGTGGCAGCTGAGTCTGGGTTTGAGAGCGTCAGTGGTGCCTACCGGCTGGACTTAGATGCCTAAAGAGGCAGTTAGGGGCCCAAGTCCCTTTGTCAATGTCGCTCCTGGATCCTGGTTTGCAACACCTTCTACCACTCTGGTCCTGAACCAGTCCCGCCAGTCCAGGCCATGGGCTCACCTGCGCAAATGCCTGTCAGCATTTAGCAGGCAGACATCCCTTTGAGGCCATGGCTGAGACACAGCGAATGTAGCTCTGCTCATACTCCAGCTTTGGTGCTGGGGGGATTTAAGAGTTAAACCCTCTGAATTTCAGCAATTTTTGGAGAACCCCAAGAAATTGCAAATTTCTCTGGGCTTCGATGGCAAGTGACATGGCCAAGGTTCCCCTGAAAGCATTGTGAATTTCCGCAGCTTGTGCAGTGACACTAGCCCTGAGTTTGGCTCCTGTGCCAGCACCCGCTGGATGCTGCAATGACATTGGGCACATTTGCCATCCCTGCTGCAGGGGAATGGGCTGATCTCATCCAGGAGCAGACAGGGATAATTTACCAAAGGGAGTCGGCTTTGCTCAATGCAGTGGGGCTGTCTGATAGAGGACCCTGCAGGACCCAGGCACAGGGCTGCTAGTGCCTATGAAGCGTGGCATGGCAGGACATCTGCTGGCCTCACAGGGCTGGCAATGGGGAACAATTCGAGGATATGGTTTCTGAAGCAGTTGGGGTGGGTGGGAAATGGCACTTGTTGAGCTGTGTGAAGTGGGCTGATGCCTCAGTCTGTGGCTAGAGAAGAGGCTCAGCGTAGACCCTGCATCCCCAGTAACTGCAGAGTGAGTGATTGCTCCTTTCCCCTGCCCTAGGACGCTGCAAAGATACGCTTTCCACCATCTCAGGCCCCACCATCCAGAACACTTATGGGCGGAATGAAGGCGCTTGGATGAAGGATCCGCTAGCCAAAGATGAGCGGATCTATGTCACAAACTACTACTATGGAAACACGCTGGTAGAATTCCGAAACCTGGAGAACTTCAAACAAGGTACGCTCTCCGGCTGCTCGCCTGGTCCTCCCCAGTCTCTGTACTTGTGCTGGAACCATGTCACTGAGCATCTCTGCACAAACCAATGTACTTCTCCCAGCGGTGCATGTGGGGCATGGACCAGTCTGCCTAGTCCCTAGTCTGTGTCCCGGCTGCTGAGCAGAGAATGAGGAATGTCTCTTTGTACAGTGTCTAGCCCAACAGGATCTGGGCATGACTGGGCTCCTAGATGTTACAGCAATACACCCAATAATAATGAGCCATGGCTTGTGGCACAGATCCAGCTCTCTGCTTGTTGCTGTTGCTGGTAATGACAGGACTCCTGTGAGCTCCAGACAGGGGCAGGAGGCCAAGCTCAATTGCCCTGGCTCCTTGCCGGGAAGCACTAAGATTTCCCTGCTGTTGGTGAGAGAGCCTCTGATCAGAGCCAAGCTGCAGATCAGCAGTCACCTGGGAAAGGGACGGTTTGGTCCCGAGAAGGGTCAGAAGCCGAGCTAGAGTTAGCCAGTAGGGGGCGTGTTTGGGATCACTGAGACAGAGGGATGAAAGTCACCAGGGTGTGGGGGAAGGTGATAGCTGCTGCTCTGAGAGAGCCAGGGAAAGGTGCAGCAGGGCTGGTGGTGGAGACATGCAGGGCAGTAGGTTGGAGGCAGCATGCAGTATAGGTCCAGTGCGAAGGAGCCTCGGTTCATAGCTCAGATTAGCTCCATGATGGAGCCAGGGAGGGGAGTGTGGGAGGGAGCAGGGGCTAGAGAAGGATGGAGAGGAAGGAAGGGCCAGCGATTAGGGCACTATCCTGTCACTCGGGAGACCTGGGTTCAGTGCCCTGCTGGGGCAGGTGCCCTGTGCAACTGGGGCCCAGAGCGTCAAATGTATTTAGGTGCCTAACTCCACCAAAGCCAATGGGGAGGAGCTGGGCCTCAGTCCCCCTCTGTGAAAGGGCCCGGCCCCACCTCTGAGTGCTTGAGGAACAATATGGCGCCCATATACCATGGTGATGGGGACCATGCACGCACCTGAAGGCACTAGAACAGTGTGGGTTGGAGAACATAGTCTGGGTGTCATAGCTGGGCTGGTGTCACTTACTCCAGCAAACTCTGTGCCAGGTTGGGTGAGGAAGTGGTGGGGGAGCAACGGGTCACCTGCCTGGAAGAGAGAAACTGGCCCTGCCGGGTGACTCAGCAGAGCATGACCTGGGTTTGCCACATCCCAGGCACAGCAAGTGCTAATCTGCGCCAGCAGCTGAAGTGGAGAGGATGCAGATGACCTGTGAATGGGGCAAAAGGGCCACCAAGAGCTGAGGGAAGGAGGGTGCTGAGTGACAGGTGGGGGCAGGAAAGCGGTGAACCTGGAGAGAGAGGGGCAAGGGTTTAATTGGTGCAATGTCTCTGCTGTCCAGGGCGCTGGAGCAACTCCTACAAACTCCCGTATAGCTGGATTGGGACAGGACATGCTGTCTACAATGGCTCCCTCTACTACAACCGGGCCTTCACGCGCAACATCATTAAATACGACCTGAAGCAGAGGTACGTAGCTGCCTGGGCCATGCTGCATGATGTGGCCTATGAGGAGGCCACACCATGGCGGTGGCAGGGCCACTCTGATGTGGACTTTGCTGTGGACGAGAATGGCTTGTGGATCATTTACCCAGCCATCAACTACGAAGGCTTCAGCCAGGAGGTCATCGTCCTGAGCAAGCTGAATGCTGCCGACTTGAGCACCCAGAAGGAGACCACGTGGCGGACAGGCCTGCGCAGGAACTTCTACGGGAACTGCTTCGTTATCTGCGGTGTGCTCTACGCTGTGGACAGTTACAACCACAGGAACGCCAACATCTCGTACGCCTTTGACACCCACACCAATACACAGATCATCCCGCGGCTACTCTTCGAGAACGAGTACTCCTACATCACCCAGATAGACTATAACCCCAAGGACCGCCTGCTCTATGCCTGGGACAATGGGCACCAGGTCACATACCATGTGATCTTTGCTTACTGAGACCCTGGCCACTGGACACTGAAAGGACCACTAGCACCTTTTATCATTATTATTATTTTGTACAAATCCAAGAGGAAATGCTGTTTTTAAAGTGGATTGTAGATCAGTCCACAGGGCAGAATCAAACCCTTTATTTTTGGTGTAACCTTCCTTCTCTTTTATACTGACACTGCTGCCTCCTACGCCGAGCGGGAAGGATGGGCAGGCTATTGCTTCATGAGTCCCTCTGCAGTGGGGTGGCTGCTGTGGCACCATAAAGACAAAGGGACAATACAAATACAGCTAGTTGCTTTTTTGCTAACTAATAAATAATAAAAAAGCAATCAAAGCAGCCTTCTTGCTCAGCACAAACATGTCTAGCGTGCAGCGGTGGCGAGGCCTCTCCTTTCAGGGGGTGCTCAGTTTGTTCTGTCTGCACTGAGTCAGGCTGGTGACAGTCCCATTGGCCTGCGAACAGCCACAGGTGTTAATTGGACAGTCATTTGAAAGCTGGGGCATCAGTTTTCTGCTCTGCAGCCTCTTTCGTGTGAATGGCATCCTGGGAGCTGGCGGTGCTGTTATTTGCCTTTGCTGCCATAAGCTGTTGCTATAGCTCTGCCCCTTGCTCATATGACGTGCCCACACATGCAGACCAGAGCTCCCTTGGCACAAGTTCTCACACGTCTGCCCTGCTATTGAGAGCGCATAGATGACCAGACGCTGCTATGCTGGGAGCCACGCTGGCAGCTACCCTGCGAGAAACCGGTGGGATGCCTTGTCGTTTTGTAAATAAATGTAGCTGATTCTGTCACCCAGAGGAGACCCCCGCAATATTTGCTTTTACTTATATCTCCCTGGGCAGCAGCTCAGCTTTGCCATTTGGTCGCATTTTCCTGGAGATGCTCAGTGTGGTCGTCTGCCTGCAATTCCAGGGAGCGCCATGCATGTGGGAGCCAAGCCTGAGAGCAGCACTGCCCCACAGCTCTCATGTCTGCTTTATGGAGACCTGCACTAAATGCTCCATCCTAGCAGAGTAGCTTGGGCTTCAGGTTTGCTCCTGGCCTGGGGGTCCCTGTTTATATGGCCCATCCCCCCTGCTGCTGCCACTCAGCTTTTGTGGCGCATTTACAGCCTGTCAGACACGCGCTCACAGTTCTGCCAGCAGCTTGTTGTATATATACACATCCCGTAATAAACATTCTTGTACCTTTGCAATTGTTGGGGGCATTTTTGGGGTTTGTTATATTCTCGGGTGGCAAAAAAATAAACGGAAAATGCTCCCCAGGTACAGGTCGCAGGTCGGGGATGGGCTGGCCAAGGGAGCTGGGAACAGATGCTGGGCATCCTTTCACCTCCAGGCCAGCAGTGGCTGACAGTCATGGCCCTGCCAGATATTGGGGTGTGCAAAGGAAGCAGGGAGCATCAGGCCAGGGCCTGGCTAACATCACAGAGACCGCAGTAGGCCCTTCTGTTTGCTTACTTGAAAATTCACTTTCTTGGGCTAAGCAGGTGCACAGGCCCCTGGGAACAGGCCCCCAGTCAGATGCTCCAGGCCTGGGCTTTGCTGGTGCCTTTGCCAATGATTTTATCCCTGGCACAATTTCCAGACCTGAGATGCAGGTGTAGGATTTCCAAATGTTTATGCCTTTCAGGGCCTGGCACTTTTCTCCATGCAGCCCCGTCATCTCTGAACAGCGCTATGGGTGCAGGGCCTGAGAGTCCAGCCCCCATCTCAGGGCTGGGCACATACAGCCAGGGCAGATGGACTGTTATGCTTGCTGCCCATTGTCAGGGCAACCTGCAATCGGCGTCCAGGTCGTCTGTATCCTGAGCCCAGGAAAAAGGTCCTGCAAAGGAGCACTGCTGGGCACAGAGCCCCTGGAGACACAAGTACGCTGCCCCTCAAGCTGCCAGGCTCAGCGCTAGCAGGCGCCCTCCCAAGCCAGTTGCCCTGCGAACATCCTTAGACCAGCACTGATACCAGCTATGAACAGGTGGTGGCTGCTGAACAGAACACCTGCAGCATCCTCCCGTGTCCTTCAGCAGAGCCTGAGCCCATTCCAGGGCCACAGGACAAGGAGAGGGAGCAGCGCTGAGCAGAGACGCACAGGACCACACACAGCATGGCTGCAGGACTGGGGAACACATGCACACAAATAGGGAGTGGCAATGACACCGACAGCCACCCCATACGTAGGCAGTGGCAGGAAATCGGGCACCTCCCAGGGCAGGAAAGGCCCGTCGGTGGCTGCGGCCATCTGCCCGCCCAGGAGCACCAGTTATCAGGCTGTGCCCCAAAGGAAGTAATCCCTGCCAGTCCTGTGCCGGCTTTTTCCACATCCTTCTTGTAGTGTGGGGCCCAAAACTGGACACAGTATTCCAGATGAGGCCTCACCAATGTCGAATAAAGGGGAACTATCATGTTCCTCGATCTGCTGGCAATGCCCCTACTTATACAGCCCAAAATGCCGTTAGCCTTCTTGGCAACAAGAGCACACTGTTGACTCATATCCAGCTTCTCGTCCACTGTGACCCCTAGGTCCTTTTCTGCAGAACTGCTACCTAGCCATTCGGTCCCTAGTCTGTAGCAGTGCATGGGATTCTTCCGTCCTAAGTGCAGGACGGAAGAATATAATGCAGGAAATAATCATTATATATATATAGTGCAGGAAATAATCATTTCCCTCGATCTGCTGGCAATGCTCCTACTTATACAGCCTAAAATGCCGTTAACCTTCTTGGCAACAAGGGCACACTGTCGACTCATATCCAGCTTCTCGTCCACTGTAACCCCTAGGTCCTTTTCTGCAGAACTGCTGCCTAGCCACTTGGTCCCTAGTCTGTAGCAGTGCATGGGATTCTTCCGTCCTAAGTGCAGGACTCTGCACTTGTCCTTGTTGAACCTCATCAGGTTTCTTTTGGCCCAATCCTCTGTATCCTATCCCTACCCTCCAGCGTATCTACCACTCCTCCCAGTTGAGTGTCAGCTGCTAACTTGCTAAGAGTGCAGTCCACGCCATCCTCCAGATCATTAATGAAGATATTGAACAAAACCGGCCCCAGGACCGACGCTTGATACCAGTTGCCAACTAGACATGGAGCCATTTATCACTACCTGTTGAGCCCGATGATCTAGCCAGCTTTATATCCACCTTATAGTCCATTCATCCAGCCCATACTTTTTTAACTTGCTGGCAAGAATACTGTGGGAGACCGTATCAAAAGCTTTGCTAAAGTCAAGGAATAACACGTCCATACAGCAGCAGGAGTGGGTAAAAAAATAGCTAAATAAAGTGTCTTGTATTGTTTCACTGGCAAGTCAGACTGGTTCCCGGTTCCAACCATTGTGGACATTACAATGTAGGGAACTTGTAATCCCCAACTACTGAAAAAAGGTGACCCCCTTCCCCAACCATCTAACTACAGCCATTGAAACAAGTGGTAGATTACCTACAGACACTTTAGTAGCAATCAAACCTTTAGGGCGTAACAGTAGCTACTCTCCCTTCCTTCCCTCACCTAGTATTACACAGTTACAAAACTTGGGTTTCCCCCCTTCTTCTGCAGCATCAAGTCCTGGGTTTTCAAACTGGTGAGGACTAGATATGCCAGTTGGTCTCCTCTGCTGTGGCCGCTCCGGTACTCTCCAGTCCTGCCTCAGGGGACAGAATTCCATTGGAAAGATTTGGCCTACTCAGAGTAGAGAGTAGAACCTAAGTGCGAAAGCTTCATTCAAGTCCTGGAGGCGACCAGAATTCAACTGGTTTCCTCCCTCCATCGGTGGAGAATTTCTCTGCTTTTCATTCTCTCATTTCAGAAATGGAAATAGATATAAAAACAAAGTTTAAAAATGATTTTATTTCCTCTTGTTACAAACACAGATGGACTCATTTATGAGAATGAAATAAAGTTATTTTTTTCTGCATACAGTGATCCCACATATCATTTAAAAGCAAAATCAGAGCAGTCTCATCCCCTATATCCCAAACAGGATTTTATTCTGAGGGTCTAAAAATAATCTGGTAAGAATAGCCTTGCTGCATCCATTTTACGAACTTTCCAGGATGTGCTGCACAGTCCATGCCCTGCTGGGTCGCCTTTGCTGGCTTGAGTCAGGCCCTCTGAGTGCTGAGGTCTGTCTGGGGGGTCAACTGCAGGACTGGGTCTATGGATCTAGGACTGGATTTGAAGCTTTAGGAAGTGCATGGGAGCTCAGCGTGTGAAGAGCCTGCTGTACCAGGCTCATGACTTAGTTACTGTCTTTCCAACATAGAAAGTCCCAAATCTGGTCACTGTTGGGGATGGTGCTAGGGTGTCATGGGGTGAGTCTGCAAGAGGCAGTGCTAGAAAAGGGGGCAGCACTACTTTAGACAAGGCACAGGCATTTTCACTATTTTGTGGCCTGCTCCCTGGTCAGCAAGGGATACACAAACGGAGTCCCTGATGCTCCCAGCTGGCTCTAGTCCATGGGGACCAAGACCTCTGCAGCTCTCATTTGAATACATGCTTCCCACAGTTGTTGCAAAATCCTACTGAAATCTCATTTTGTTTAAGAGAGCATGAATAATCAAATTCTTCGGAGTGCGGAGATTTGGTCCAAGAGGACATGCTGGTGGTCTGTAAGGCTGGGGAGATCAGATTGTGAGGGACAGAATCCATTTATTTTAGGCCAAAATTAAGATTTGGATTTATTTAAAAGTGTTTTGCAAACTGTAATAGAAATATTTCAGTGAAATTAAAACAACACGTCAAGTAAAACAGTTCTTAGGGTGATTTAAATATTCCCCTGCAGTGACAGAAACACAGACATCAGCACTGCGCTGGAAATGGGAGCCAGAAAGTGACACTGACATGAAAGTGAACAGCGGGATTCAAAACAGTGATGAGGGTTATATAAATAAGAACCTGAGTAGATTTGCTTTCACCATCTAAGGTGAGTGAAGGGAAAAACAGAGCATCAGGATGAAAAGGATGATTACAAGAAGTTCACTTTAATAATCTGAGGTATCAGTAACCCAGGAAAGGTGTGTTCTTAAGCAAGATGATGCTATTTTTATCTTGGCTGTCCCTTCAAATAGAAACAAACTACTCAAGATCGAGGTGCCCAAATTAATGTGTTGAACTCTGCAATTTAACCTGCGCAATCAACCCTTAAGGACTCTAGATTGGCTTGCAGTGTTCTTGCTGTCTGCTCTAACACCACCGATTTTCACAATGAGATTTGCAGTCAAAGTGTGGAAGCCATTCAGATGAGCTTAACAGAAAGTTTAATGGTTAAGATACTTAAATATCACCAGAGTCTAGTACAATCCTTAGAAACACACATCTTTCATCACAGGTTTCATCACACTTGCCAAGGGCTGGATCCCTTCAATGATCTGTGGTATCAGAATGCTGGTAAAGGAAAGTTAATATAATTGCAAAGTAAATGCTTTTAACCAGATGTTCCTCATGGACTGTTACAGCATCCACCCTCAGCTGGTACGTCTGCAGACCCCATTGTAAGCACTGGTGCAAAATACATGAGTACAAGAACTGGAACAAGGTGTCTGCACCCCTTCCCCTCTCAGAAGGTAAACATTGGCAGCCACTGTCCTGAAAGTCAGCACCATTAGCCCTAAAATGTAGAGTGCCATCAGCTGGGAAGTTTGAATGTGCTCTCCCAAGCACCCACAAAAAGCCACAGCAAACTTGCAAAATCCCACATTGTAAAAGTAACCCCTGCTCCACCCCCTGCTCTGTCTCCTGTCATATCCCATTAGTTAGTGTGCCTGTAGGCTACCACCTTGGTTCTCCTGCCAGAGTTCACACAGCCAGTGGGTACAAGGTCTAACGGCTAGTGTAAACCACATCTTACAGTCACCAACATTCCAGGTACTCTTATTTGTAAAACAATGGACTCCCACTGCCTGCAGGAATTACTTTGGAGCACTGGAAAAATGGTCACTGTGTAGCAGAAGAGAGTGGTTCCTTGCTATGGAGGTATTCACCTCTGCTGGTAGTTCTGTTTTTTGTAGCTGGTGCCCAACGCCTCACCCATTTTAGAGGGGCATTTCTCTGCCCTGCTGCCCAGTTCTCATTCAGCTGTCTGGCCTGTAACTTGCAATGCAGCTTGGGCTACTCAAAGGCATTGGCCCCCAGCTCTAAGGAGCCCATGCTCCATTACAAACTAGGGCACACACAAGTGAAAGGGACCCCATGAGATTGGAGAACCACTAGCATAAAATGAACATCCCATAACAGGAAGTACAAGAGATAGCTCAGCTGACTGATTTCTTCTTGCTAGATTTGCCTAACTTGGATCAGGACCAAGCTGCTCAGACATGGCATTTAAAAAATAAAAATCCCATACTGCCTAAAATACATCGTAGTGACTCTAAACACACACAGGAGCTGGCAGGGACACTGCCTCCATAGCACAGTTGCCAACTTTCACAATAAGCCAAAAATCAAGCTAATCCCATTTCAAAACAAGGCCAAAACAAGCCAAAACCCTAAGAACCCCAATACTCTATGTGACTAGATCCCCCGGTGTGCAGTCTGGGACTGTGGTGGGCCTGCTGTGCACCCCCGACTCTCTCCCCCCCTTGCCCCTGCTTGCCAGAAGCCGATCAAAAAAAAAAAAGAAGCAACCAGCTATAACAAGCAACAAGCTACAAACCAAAAACTAGCCAATAAGCAACTCACAAGCCAATTAAGTCAAAAACAAGCCCAATTTCTGCATTTTTTTCCATGGGTTTGGCATGTCTGCTCCATAGTGATTGGGCCTGGGAGCCCCATACAGTTCTGTTCTAGACAAGCCCCATGTTGTAGCAGCAGCTAGGCGGCAGACAGGACCTTTTTATGGGGAGCTAGGGCCACTTGTGTCTGATCTCATGATTCATACCATGACAGATGATGTGGCAGTCACTCTCTGGCAAGTCAAAGGTGCACCACAAGGTGCAGGTGAGGCAGTGTGCTGCTCTTTAAAAAGACACTGTGAACCAACACGCTGTGCTCATACAGGGCACAAAGGAACGTTCATTGTTATAACATTTTGTGTATTTTTCCCCAAATCTCTCTTTTAAGGAAGCGTCTGGTGTTTGTTTCCACAGATATTAAATTGCACATAGCTTGGCTTTCTCCAGGGACCAAATGATCCAAGGATAATGCTGGCTTCTGCGCTAGGAAGGAGACTCAGCATGCTAAGGGGACAAAGCTTTTCTCAATCATGAGAGTGTTTTAAAAATGCTATTCATTTCCCACAAGGAGCTAGCACGGAATCAAATGGCAGGAATTCCCTTCTACTGGTGAGAAGAGTGCGTGCGCCTGGAGAGCGAGGAGCTGCCTAGTGTTACCAGAAATGGAGGGTGCTGCGTGGAATGGGATTCCAGGGCAATACATTCAGACTGAGCAGCCAGAGGAAGTTTGTAGTGGTGACAACTATTAGACTGGAATAATCCCCACCACGTCCTGTGCGCTGCAGGAAGTTAGACTGGGGGAATCTTAAAATCTAGCCCAAATCCAGTCCCTATTCTTCCTCCATGAGGGCAGCAGCTCTGCAAGCAGTAGAGCTGGTTTGGCTCTGCGGGGGAGGATTCCAGGGGTGTGCAGCGTGTGCCTGCTCTGGACAGTGCAGAGCTCAGCTTTGCAGTGGTTCCTGCATGGAACCACTCTTCTTCTTGCCTGCAGGGGGAACCATAGAGGCCAGGCCAGCTGTTCCTTTCTCCCATCCTGGTACCTGGTACTAAGTACAGAGCAGAGTGTGAGCAGAATGGTTCACTGCGCACAGTTCCAGACAAAAGCTGCAGCCCTACCTCTGCACAGGTACAGGACATGTCAGTTCTAGGGCACCCCATGTCTCGCTGCCCCCTCCACAGTTAAACTTGCCTATTCTTCTCCTGCCCTGTTTGCTAATATGCTTGAGTGTAAATAAATAAATACTGTGACTCTGGACTTCTACCAGAGCCTCCCTCCACAAGATCCCTAGCTTTCCATAAACAGCAGCTAATCAAACCTCAGAACCCCCTCCTCTGTGAGGTAGGGCAGGGGTTAGCCCCAATTTACAAATGGGGACACTGAAATACAGGTCAAGGAAGTTATTCCAGATCATACAGCAGGTAAGGCCCTGTCCTCCTGGCCCCAGCCCTGCTTGCTGGCCACCAGGCCATACTGCCACTCCCAGACATCACCACCCGTCTGCCCAGCTTCCTTCGCCTGCCTGCCCTGTCCCTGCAGGATGTCTGTTCACTCGCTGTCATTACCAGGATGATGTCAAACACTGCCCAGGGCCATCATGGGACGTATCAGACAGGGGAAGAGGCTGGGCAGGGTGCACCAGCAAGGCTGGGAAGGCAACGGGCAGGGCAGCGTCACAGGGTTCTGGTAAAACGTTCCACTTGAGGAGTATCAGTGTTGGAATTACGCCCGGGCTGAGCCCTCTGCAGTTCTAGGAGTCCTGGAAAGGTCAGACTAACTGCAAGTGGTAGGGCCTAGTGCTGGAGCTGGGTATCCCCAGCTGTTTACCTAGTAATAGTGATAGTGGTGAAAGCTGCATTTGTATCACCAAACATTTCTGCCTCCTTGCTGAGGCTCAGGGACTGCAGCTGTGAGGCTTCTGGGAGCTACTGCAGTGATTCCACGATTGCTCTCATGGGGTGGGCTGTCTCAGGGACGGTGGGAGCAGCGCTATAGAAGGGGTTGGTCTGATTCCCTTGCTGTTGTCGAAGGTACCAGGGTATGGAGGAGCTTTTGATATGCAGAATCCTGGTGTCCATCACTTCACAGTCTATCTGCATCATCACCTCGTAGTCCTGCCCATTTATCACATTCTCTGAAAAAGGAAAGGGCAGCATTAGCACCTCAGCAGCATCTCCTTTCTGTTATGTTGGCCTGAAGTTTGGGAAAACCCTTTGAAACCAGGATATAAAGATACTTTCTAAGGCCTTTGGACCCAAAGAGTTTTCATAAACCATGTGCATGCAGCCACCTCTGGGGTGTGTAAGGCCCAGGGAGTCTTAAATCCGGGCCTGAAGAGCAGACACCTCCATGCTACCCTCCAGCAGCAGCTATAACCAGCTCGTGCTCCACTACCTACAACCTGCTGTGGACACAGACCATGGGAGATGGAAAGTTTGGGCATTCCTGTGTGGCCTTTTGGGTTGGCCCATTGTAGAGAGAGGGGCCTGGGCCCAGGGTCCATCTCTAAGGTTTGGGCAGTGGCTATAGCTGGATATGTGCTACACATGCTCATTTGCCTTTGGGGACAATAGCACTACTTGAAAAATGTTTTAGCATAAAACTCAGGGACAGGACAAGTCACCATTTCAGCTGGGAATACAATCCTCTGCCCTGCACCAACCCTCGCAGTCAATCACCCTGCCAGGCCCTGAACCCACGGCACTTCCATTGCCTAGAGAGCTTGTATGTTCACAGAGAGGGGCTAGGCTCTGAGCTGGCTGGGGAATGCAATCAGTGGGGTGCTTACTGTCCAGGGTTTAAAGATGTGTGTGTGTGGAGGAGAAGGACATCTGAGTCATTGAAAACAAAGCCAGTGTCTCTGGGGATCTCTTAGGTTTTTGCCTTTGGAGCTAGGACTCTAAAGTAGTCAGCTGAGTTTGCTTTCTGTGCCTCAAGAAGGAAGATTGTGCAATGGAAAATGTACGGATTAGAGGCATGAAATACATGTTACCAATTTTACTGCTTTCCTGAATTAACTTTGATTCTAGCTGATGGCTCACAATCGGGGCTGCACCCCTTGTGCCACATGCCACCTGCAGCAGTCATTATATCAAATATGTCTGGTGCAGTAATGAAAAAACAGGAGATAACCTAGTCTAAGGGGCTGACAGGCTGTGAAGAAAATGGAAATGTTTGATTTCCCTTGCACTCTGGGTGTGCTGCCCTGTGAGCAGAGCCAGGGGCTAGCTGTGACTGCCAGGCTGCTGGGAACTCAGGCTGCTGCTTCGAACACTGGACAATTGGCTAATACTCCTGTGAATGGACTCTTCGCTCGGGGGGCTGCAGGAGCTGGCTGGGGGGTGTGGGAGGTGAAAGGTCTGCAAGGCCTGAGGCAGGAGTGTCCCCCGTTGGGACTTCTCTCCTGCTCATTTGGCAGCTTTAACCTCTTGCCTTCTTCACCCCTACGCCCACCGCCAGCTTGGAATGTCCTTGGCAGTGCTGCTGGTCTGTCCCTCTCTTTCCTGCACTCCTGAAACTCATGGGCAGGGGAGCTCCAGCACCAGCAGGGGTGTGGTTGTGGTCTATTCAGTCGCCACTCTTCCTGTACACCTCAGCCAGGAGCATGCTGATAACGGGACTGACTGAGGGAGAGGGCTGGATGGCACTCCCATAGCCATGCAAATCTCCAGGGTGCCTTTGGAGAGAACCTGACAGCTGTGGCAGTAGTGCATGAGGTGACAGATGGCTTCAGGCTCATAGGAAGAAAAGTGGGTCAGGGTTGTTCCATTGTCTCATATACCAACTGATAGAGAAACTCACCCTCTGCCCTCGGCCTGCACTCCTGATATGGCGTGTCCCTCCACCTCTACCCTCACTCCCTTTACTGGAGCTTGACTTAGCCCTTGGGCCAGCAAACACATCAGCAGCTCCCACTGGGGAAACTGGGCACTCTGTGGAACTAGCAGCAGGAAGCAGCTGGGAGACAGGCTGTTGGCCAAGGTAATGCTGGCAGGGGTCTGGAAGAAACTGGCTTTGGGGAGGGAGTCACACAAGGAATGGAAGGCAATCTGCCCGGGCACAGACTGCGTGTGGGGTTAGAAGGAGCCTAGGGAGGTGGGAGGAGCCTCTCCCTGTAGTGGGGACAGAGCAGAGGGAATAGCATGGTTCCCTTTGATGTGGAGAACTCCTCATCCTTTGTGCTCTTGTGGTTAAGGCTAGGGAGGACCCAGACTGATCAAGAAAATGGAGCCCCCAGCCATGCTGGGCAGGGAAACTACTTGCATTGTAAGCTCTTGGGGCAGGGACCACCTCTTCAGTCTGACTGTGCAGAGCCCAGCACAGTGGGGCCTGATCTAGGATTAGGGCCCCAGGCACTACTGCAATACAGATGCTAATAACAAAAGGAAGCAAACTATATGAACAAGGGGAGTACACCCATATGTGTTTGCCGGGGGGGGGGGGGGGGGGGGGGGAGGAGGCTTTCAGTGCCTGGAATCATAGAACCATGGGGTTAGAAGGGACTGCAAGGGTCATCTAATCTAAACTCCTGCCAAGATGCACATAGAAGTCAGGATTCCTGGGTTCTACCCCAACTGTCAAAGACCTGCTGTGTGGATGTCTCTAAGGGTGAGTTTTTCCACATGTAAATGGAGGACTGTATGGGGTTGTTTTGAACCTTAATTCATATTTGTCAAGTGCGTGGCAGTCCTTGTAAGAAAATGCAAATATTATCGCTATTAACAGAAGAAAGACATCATGGTTTGTGTGCCTTGGAAAAATGTCTGTCTGTCCTTGGAATTCCCTAGTCATTTAACATCACACACACAACATTTAACCAAACATTACCCACCAATTTTTTGCTTATCAGGCTCAGAGCTAAATCCACACTTCAAGGAGACAACGAGTGAGTACAGGTACGGCTGGCACACTAGTGACAGCAATAGTTCAGGGTGCTTATGCATTTCCATTTTAGACCTTCAGCTTCTATTGTCAATAGCTTTCTGATTCTTTCACTTTTAAGGATAAAATTCTCAAGGCCTACTCTGTCATGGTGAATCACCGTGGAAAGTCTGAGCAAGATGATTCAGCCACTCCTGAGAATGTGGATAATGGATACAATAATGCTTCCCACAATCTTTTTTTCACCAGCTCTAACACCAAACTGTCTGGGAAGAGACAGCTGATGTTTTGCAGAGAAAGAGCCACTAAGGTGAAGCTTTCAGAGTTTGGGGGAATTCTATTTTGATTTGGGTGAGTTAGGCCAGGTCTATAGTACCATTTACTTCAGCATAATTTATGTCGTTCAGGCGTGTGAAAAAGCCACCCCCCTGAGCAACGTAAATTACAGTAACCTAAGCACCGGTATGAACAGTGCTGTGTCGGTGGGAGAGCTTCTCTGCCAACATAGCTACTGTTTCAAATGGCAATGGATTTATTATGCTGATGGGAGAGCTCTCTCTCGCTGGCATAGGGTGTCTTCACCAGATGTGCTACAGCGGCACAGCTGTGCCGCTGTAGCACTTTTAGTGTAGACTAGCCCTTAGAGTCTGAAAGGAAGGTTTAAAATCACACTCAAACAGGCTGGTACAAATGCTGGAAGGCACTGCTAAGGCTAATGCCAGTACAGCTGAACCAACAATGCTGCGGGTGGGAATTATTTGATGAAATGCCCTACTGCAGATTGTAGCCATGATCATGGCCTACACTTGCAGCTGAAAAAGTTCAAAGCTGGCTTAGCTCCCCCACTCCTGATGCCATGTACATTCATAGATTTCAAGGCCAGAAGGGACCATTATGATCTTCCAGTCTGAGCTCCTGCATAACACAGGCCAGAGAGCCTCACGCAGTGACTTCTGCATCCAGCTCTGCTTGAGTCAGAGCAGATCTTTCAGAAGGAGACCCCCCAGTCTTGATCTACAGATGCCAAGTGATGGAGAATCCACCGGGGTCTCTGCACTGTGCATTGCTAATCCTTGGTGCCATCCAGTCTCCCTTCTCTGTAGTAGCCTAACGTGCTTAACCCAATCCTTCCTCTCCAACTCCCAGTCAGCTCAGCCATGTACCACTGAGCCCTGTGCCCAGAAACCCTCTATTGCCTCATGCAGTGAGGTGGACAGCCTGGCAGGCTGGCCAAGAATCGGCTGGGATTGAAAGCCCCAGGTCTCAATATTGTTCCCATTCCTGTTAATCTGCTGGAATGTTTGCACTTTCCAGTCTGCATTAAACTTAGCTGCTTTTCACTGACATAATGTTTAGAAACACAGAGGGGCTAAGTTGCTTCTAATGTTTACTGCCCTGAGTTATCTGTGACTGATAGTTTTGCAGGGTTATGTAAGTGAAACAGGTCTGTGTAAAGGAATTTGTATTTATAAATAGATTTACTGCTCCTTTTTACACTTCATAACATACAGCCCTGTGTGCTATGCCACCTCAGGACAAAACTCCAGAACCTGTTGGGTTTTTAAAAATATCTGTACTTTGTTTTTATGCTGAAAACCCGTACTTTGTTTTTTATGCCACTTTAGCTTGCATCTAATTAGTTGTTAGCATTGCTTAACCAAAGGGCTTTTGAAAACCATTATTCAGAACAATTCAGGACATACATCTCTACCCCGATATAACGCGGCCCGATATAACACGAATTCTGATATAACGTGGTAAAGCAGTGCTCCTGGGGGGGAGGGGCTGCGCACTCCGGCGGATCAAAGCAAGTTCGATATAACGCGGTTTCACCTATAACGCGGTAAGATTTTTTGGCTCCCGAGAACAGCGTTATATCGAGGTAGAGGTGTATAATTTGGAAGCAACAGAGGGGGAGAAAGACCTGGGTGTATTGGTTGATCACAGGATGACTATGAGCCACCAATGTGATGCAGCTGTGAAAAAGGTTAATGTAATCCTTGGATGCATCAGGCGAGGTATTTCCAGTAGAGACAGGAAAATGTTATTACCATTGTACAAGGCACTGGTGAAAACTCATCTGGAATACTGTGTGCAGTTCTGGTCTCCCATGTTTAAGAAAGATGAATTCAAACTGGAACGGGTACAGGGAAGAACTACTTGCATGATCAGAGGAATGGAAAATCTACCTTACGAAAGGAGACTCAAGGAGCTTGGCTTGTTTAGCCTAAGCTAACGAAGGCTGAAGGCAGA